ACCTCCTGGGTTAGATGGAGGTCCTGTAACACGGCTAGGAACGTATGTGAAAGGTCAGACCTGGCTGACTGCTCTTCCCAGCAAATGTCCATTTATTTTAGGCAACAATAATAACTCCACCCATTAATTAAGTTAACAAAGCCTTCCCATTACAAGACTATGTTTTCAGTAGCATGTAAGTGCCGCCTTTTAATGATTTGTGTTAAATTTTTCCATGCCAAGTGAATGGCTCACACTGGGTTTGTTGGTTGGTTGGTTGGTTGGTTTGGGGTCATTCTGAAAAAAACCAAAAATTTTCAGCTATCTAAAAGGTTAACTAAGAAAATATATTATCTTGCCTATGGAACTAAAATTTGATGGACTTTGTCAGGGATGGAACTTTCTGTTCTCTGGAAAATTCATACAGATTTTACCACATTATTGGCCTTTGCAAAACTGTGGATAGGTTGTTTATGGCTTTGCCACACTGCTAAATAGAACCTTGTTAAGATTTCACAGCTTAAATATATGCAGATTCTGCACTGAGGATAGTTCAGCCTAAGTCTGCATGCAGCTGAGCAAGATTTTCCTTGAACTTAAGCAGAAGGCAAGGTAAAAATGCATCTTATAGAATATAGACTAACTAAATCAGAGATACATAATCTGGCATAGTCAACAGCTTACTTCATCAGATACTATGAAGAGACTGCAGGGAGCAGAGCTTCTAAATAGAAAGCAGTGATCTGAGTACAAGGGAAAAGGACTTATAATTTCTAGCTGCTCTGGGCCATGTCCAGACTGAATTCAGGTACTTGAATAGAGAATAAAAAGATTCTCTCTCCCATGCTGTGAATGGAAGCATTGCTGAAGGGACTGAAGGAAGAGGTCTGACTGATTCAAGTGTAGACGTGACAAAAGCTGAAACTGCAAGACCAGTGGAAGGACTTTGAGGAAAAATACTGAAACCTGGAGAGAAGACCGGGACTGAAGGTTGTTGGGCTGGAGAGATAGTAGGATTGAGATTTAAGAGTTACTAGGAGATTTTGGGGTGGTGGATACTGAGGCCAGCAACAAGCTATAACTGTAGGCCTGTGGAGTGAGATGAAGTAAATGAAGTGGACAGAGCAGAGAGACAGACCAGATAGGAGCGCATGGGGGGGAGGGTGGTGAGCAGAGGGAGCTAGGACAAAGAGGATGGGACCAATTTTGGGGTAAGTGGATACTGAGATTGGTCAAAGCACCTGGAGAAAGAGACTGGAACTGGAAACCAGCAGGATTGAGGAATGTGAGCATTGGGGGAGACTGAAGACAGGATAAGAAAAGGGAAAAAAGTCTGAGTGACAATTTGGGAGTAGAGCATAGGGACTGCACTGCAAGGACACAGCAGATAATGGATCACGTGTGGGAAAACTGATAGTGGCTGGAGCAGGAGTTTGGAACTTCAGGCATAGCCCGCACACAGAGCTCAACTGCAACACAGCCAAAGGGGAATACAACTCTGGTTCCGCCGCTAGGACTGAGTAAAAGACAGGGCTGGAACAGGGCCAGGATGGAAGAGAGGGAGTGGAAAATGACAACCTACTACAGTCTAACTTACATATGGAGGGTTCATCTGACAATCAAAAAGTGGCAAGGTAGGCAGCTGATTCTTCTAGTCAGACTCTGCTGGTGCTGGATCATTAGCAGCCATGAGACTGACTAGGTCCCATAACTTTATAGCTGCTATAAGAGGCAAGTTGCTTTGAGCAGTAATGCAAAAAACCTGCCTGGACACATCCACACAAGACACTTTACTGCACAGTACACCAAATTACTGCGCAGTAAGCATCACTGTCTACATGTGCAGATGCTTACTGCACAGTAAATTGGTCTCCTCCATGGTTAATTTGTTGCCTGCAAATTCAGGTAGAAAATTAACTGCAGAGTAGTTACTGCACAGTAAGGCACATGTAGATGGCCGACCAGGAGCAAATTTGCTTCTGGTCAGCCAGGCAGCAGGAGGCAGGAGATTGCTCCCTGCCCCAAGAAGCTGCCTGATGCCGAGGCAGACTCCAGTGGTGGACCCCATGCTAGGACAATGTCTCCCTTCCCTGGCAGCAGGGAGCTCCTGGTCCCAGCTCCGCAATCAGATTAACTTTTGCTCTGATCATGGAGCAGGGACCAGGAGCTCCCTGCTGCTGGGCAGAGGGACACTATCCCAGCCTGAGCTCTGTCATCAGAGCCTGCACTGGCAACAGGCAGCTCCCAGGGGCAGAGAGCTATCTCCCAGCCCCAGTCAGGAGACAGCTGTCTTGGTCCCATGCTCCCTGTCAGCCCCTGGCTGTCCCTGGCTGCCGTAGGGAGGCAGAGCAAGGTGGGAGCAAATCGGCTCCCAAATGCCTGCCCATGGAGATGCCTGCCCAGAATGGGTATACTCTGCAGTAAATTACATTTGCATATGTAGACGCGCTACCTGAGGTGCAAACAGCTGAGGGCAAGCTGTTTGTCCACAAATGTACAGGAACCGTTGTTTTAAGAAGTACTTTTAAGATAAAAATCTATGAGATCTAGCAAATGTAAATGGTTGCTTGCCTTCCCTGCTGATGGCATGAGTGGTCTTTACTGTAGTGCCATCAGTTACTGCATTAACTCAAGTGTCAGAGGTCTGTTTGGTGTATCTAGATGTTTCAACCCATTAGGATGTAAATGGGCGTCAATATGATACTATTTAATGGAATTTCCATTTTTTTACCTTGCAATTTTATTAAGGTTGCAACACTAGCACTCAGAGGGTGAGTCTCCATGTGCAGTTAGTGCATATTAATAAACTCTGGAACTTATTTCTCCACATTTTTGCTCCCAGGCACACCATTTGAATGTATGCCTAGCAGCAATTAACTCTGAAGCAATTCACTCCAGAGTTTATTCTTGTGCAGCACATGGATGCTGATAGGGGCCTGGGGGATCAGCCTGCCAGCCCAGGGCTGCTCTGACCAATCCAATGTGCTGCAGAGGGACTGGTTGTGCAGGAGCTAGCCAACAGGCCACCCCTGTACTGAAACACCCTTGTGCCCCAGCCAGCCAGCTCAGCATCTACACATGCACTGCTGCTGTATTTGTAAGTACTACCCTACTGTGGAGTTTATTAGTTCCCTGTTCCCTAATAGGGGTGCACGTGTGGTCGCTGGGGTGTTTACTGCAGAGCTAATTAGTCAGCTCTGCAGTAAACATCTCATGTAGATGTGCCCAGAAGATAGGAACTGCACAACCTTCTCGGGTGCATCCCCATGAGGGGGAACATGTATTTCCTCTGGGACAAGTAGCAGTCACAGTGGCCACTGCTACTTGTCCCCAGGGAATGCCCAAGCAACGGACACTCTGGGGCATGGCAGGTTACCCCAGGTGGGAGTAGGGGAGGCTGGGGTCAGCAGCCTTACCTAGGGTCCTGGGGCCTTCTGGGATCTGCAGTCACAGCGCTCCTGCAGCAGGAAGCCTGGCCGGCAGCCAGCAAGGGTGGCTCCAGCCAGCCAGGCTCTGGCTTCAGGTGGCGCATGCTGCCACCACGTGTGCCAACCTGCTTTTTTTCGCATGGGTATTTTTGACCCCAGGACTGCCACATACTACACGTCCGCACTCATCTGGGCATACCCCTTGTGTTAATGCATTATTGAATTACCTGATGCACACTCTTATTTCTGGAGGCCTCCTACTTTATTCAATGCCTAGGATGTACTGTTCATTTAGGGAGTAACCATTCAATCGTTTGTTTTCACCTTGTTTGGTATGTGCCCAGTCCCTTATTTTTCATACACTACTGGCCTGGCTCTGAAAGCAGAACTCATAGTGCTCAACTTTTCAGCCTTATTCTTTTACATATTTTTGTAATTTGAAATGTACTCAAAACTATTTCTAATACCCAAGAAGGCAGAAGAAAAAAGGTACTGCATTTTAAAAGAAAAACATGTCTTCCCTTTTTATGGTTTGAAAGATTTATGCCATTTCTGTGTAAGACCTACTATTGATATTATTATAGGTCCATGGCTTAGGACAAGGGTGGTCAACCTGTGTCACATGTGCCACAAGTGTCGGGGGCAGCCTCTCTGTGTGGCACATAGCAGATTAGATAGGGGGCAGGCAGCACAGCAGCAGACAGGGAAGAGAACAGAAAGCAGAGCAGCAGATCAGGCAAGGAGCACACAACAAAAAGCACAAAGCAGAGTAGCAATAGATCAGGCACAGAGCACAGGGCAAGAAGCAGAGAGCAGAATGATGAATGGGCAGGGGAAGGGGATTAAAGTAGCATTTTAAGGAGGGTGTGGGGCTTACTTTGTGGCACACCTGCCAAAAACTAGATTAAGAGAATAAATGCTTGAATGAGGAAGGTGAAAATCAAATATTACATAGGATGTGTTGCATCATTTAGATACTAACACCAAGAGAATGTGGTCGTATTATATCCCACTATTGCTTAAGGTAGACTGTTGACTTGAAGAGGGCTTTGTTCATCAGTTCTCTTCATACATGAAATGGGTTAATAATTTTTTCAAACCTGTTAAAAGGGTTCATAGAGTACATAAATCTCATTGAGATCCTTGTCAGAAGTGCAAAGTATTAATGAGAATTGTTCGAAGACATAGCGTGCCTAACAAAGGAGAGATGTGGTTAAACAACGGTATTGTACATACTTTAAGGCTGAAAATATTTGTTTCTTAAGGGTGGTGGCAGACTAAAATTTTGGTAATCAGTCTATAAATGACGTAGTAATAACCTTGGGGAAGAGCATACTATTGGTGATGTTTGTTTCAGTGCCTGTAAATACTCCAAAGAAACCCTCTGTCAACCAGAAATGACCGGTTATGTTTTATATTTGCAGATGTTGGGAGGAATCCCATGGCAAGCATACTTTCAGCGAGTTCTTTCTTCATCTTCTGCCATGTATGCTCAAGTATTATCATTTCTCGCTGCTTTTGGCTGTCTTGTGATGGCTCTTCCAGCAATACTCATTGGCGCAATCGGAGCATCAACAAGTAAAGACTGAGAAGACCAAATATGACTATTGCTATCAATATGTGGATACCCTTACAGAGCTCCTGGTTAATTTATTCTAGCCAGACCTTTACTAATCTCCTGACTTCCTTCATATGACACTAGATCCAAATTTAATTTTATAGAACTATCTCCAGACTCAGATTACCCCACAGCTTAGTTTAACACCATCAGTATTTGATGCATTTTAAATGCTCCCTTGAACAGTCTAGTGTAAGTGTCACAGACTGACCACAACTGACCAGAATTGGTAGATGTTAACCATGTACATCATAGATCAGAGATCCTCAACCAGGGTGCCACAGGGGCCATGAGATGCTTCTCAGGGTACTGTGGGGTGCTGTACAATATTAGTACTATTAGGTGTGCAGACACCTACACATGATTCACAAAATAAACCCAGGGATTTCAAATAGGAATCCATAGTGTCAAAAAAATTTCTGACCTGTTGTAGTTTTTCTTTGCAACAGAAGATTCACTCTGTTATTTTTCCATAGTCAAAATGCAAGTGAAAGCTAAGAGCTGGTATTTTCCAAGGGGTCTTTTGAACCTCAAAAGGTTGAGAACCACTGGATCTGTGACCCTACTTTAGGGCATGCAACCCCACTTCCAGTACATGCAAGGCTTTTCCAATTTAATTTAGCCTGATGCCACTTGATGTCATTTGTAAGTTCTGAAACCTCACAAGGGGGTCACAGCCTCTCATTTCGGAACCACTGTCCAGGGAGATCTACTAATCAGTTTTAGACATTGTACAGATATATCAAAAAGATGGGCATTACCCTGAGTCCCCTAGGTAGTTGTGCAGTGATTAATAATCACTGATTATGTAGGTAAACATGGAAGCTATTATGCATTTAACAAGAACTTACAGCTTCAGGCTCTAATTCAGAAAGACAATTCGATTTATGCTAAATACCTTATAAAATCTGTGCCCTAGACCTGTTTATTGAGGATGTTCAAAAGAAAATTTGTTTTCATCTGTTCTGAAAAAATGCCATGAGAGGTTTTACTTCCTAGTGAAAGTGGTCAGAATGAGCTTTGATACAAAGTGTCAGCAAATAAATGAAATCTCTAGTACTGCTGCATATCTTCTTAGCCTTGTACCTTGTCAGTATGATGCTGAATTGTCAGCATTGGGTACATGTTCAGTTATGAGACGTGACTCCAGAAATTTCTGGCCCAAAGACTATCCAGTTCCAACTTTTCTGAGGTAAATAAGCAGCCTACAAGGTCATTAGTGGTACCACTTATTTACAGTTAATATCACCCTGAGTTCATCTTTCAAATTTGACCTCTATCAACTAAATGCATGATGTTTATAAACACACTACAGACTCACAAACACATTTTTGGGGACAAAGGAATTGTTTTAGGTTTAATCAGGATGTGCAAATGAATTTGAAATTCTGCCTGGGGACAGTAAGCTTCCATCTTCCCTCACTAGTCCACCAAACTCAATCTTCTCCTGACACAGGTCTATACCCCATTTAGCTCCTGTGGCCAGAGGGAAATGAGGGAAATGGTTTTCCAATCCAACCCTTCTTTCTATGCCCCAAAGCATCAGGAAAGGTGGTTGCCCCCGTTCCTGCTCTGTTCTTTGTGTAAGTCTGAGATCTGATCTACGTCAAGATATCCAGCACAATAGCTAGAGAAAGACAGGGTTTCTTTAGTTTTTTGGTCCTGTGAGATCAACAGCTGCCCACAACGGTCCTTAGCATTTCACAGGAGAGTGAGTGATTCAGAATATTTATCTGCCTTGCCAAGAGTCTTTCCTGTGTCACTAATAATGAAAGGGAGGATATGGGAACAAGCAAACTGTTATGGATTGGGAAAGTACTGGTCCTTTTAGTTGATTAGGGCAATTGATTTCAGAGAATCAGATGGAAGACATCAGAGATGCTGCTGAACAATGTTGACAAAAAAAGGAAGGGCTAAGATGTAGAAGTTATTAGGAAAAGCAGCAACTCAACACATTAGTTTCGTTATAAAATGAGGAAATTTAGCAGGCACACCTGTAGTATTCAGGCTGAAATGATAAGGATGAAACTGCAGTCTAATGTCAGAGGGACAAGTCTCCTGCAAATCAGAATAGCTGGTTTGTGTTTGCTGGAATTCAAATTGTTGAGGTTTACATGGGATCAGCAGGGATGAAGGAACGTGACAACACATACCAGATCATGCATTAATCATGTAATCAATTACATCTGTACTTATATTGCAGATTGGACCCAGACTACGTATGGTTCTCCAGAACCCTGGAGAAGACAAGAAGCAGATATGATTTTACCAATTGTGCTTCAGTATCTTTGTCCTGTCTATATTTCCTTCTTTGGTCTTGGTGCAGTATCTGCTGCTGTGATGTCATCAGCTGATTCCTCAATCTTATCAGCAAGTTCTATGTTTGCTCGGAACATTTATCAACTTTCGTTTCGTCAAAATGTGAGATTATATTATCATTTGTTCATTTTTTAAAGAAAAGTGATGGTTAAAAGATGATTAGATTGCCATTTGTGTCTTTAGAAATCTCTTCTTTGTTCCTGTTTCTAGTTGGGTAAAGTATAGCACTTCTCTTATCACAGCATATTCTATAAACTAAATGAAAAAGCACAGAAATATCTGTTACTGTGATTAATTGTATAATAGAAGAAAGCATATAGTGAAATTGTATTTACTAGTTTTCATAATGTTGCAATATATATGAAGAGCGCCAAGCTTGTACAGTCACCACAAGTTCTTTAAAAGTCTTAACTAAATAAGATGTTCTGCTCCTTGAGGACTTTCTAGGGGAGGGGGAGGGGGAGGGGGCCCGTGGGCTGTCAGGGGCCAAGAGGATGCTGAGGGTCCAAGAGACTCTTGCAATGCTACATAAAACTGTCAATATGTTACACTACAAAAGGAAATTTCTTGTGGTGGATCTGCCACGTGTTTAGAGATGATAATAGTTCGAACATACACACACTAGCTTTGTGCTGTTTATATAGCTATATAAGTAACGTGTGCATGTAGTCTGTTTTGCTTATTTAGAAAAAAAATAGTTCTATCACACTATTTGTTTTGTTGGACACTGCATTAAACTACGCTTTCCTGGAGGGCAAGAATTTTGGGATAAGAACTTGAATTTATTTTCTGGAGCTTTTTTTTTTACCTGCTATATATTTTTCATCTTGCACATTTTTATCTGATATATAAATCATGTAAAATGGGTTCTTGGATATTTTAGGGTTTTTAATAAAATATAATCTTAAGAAATCCATACATCAATTGCTACATGCATACTAACTCTCCATGGGTATTTTTTTTGCTTGTTTTTTTTGTAGGCTTCAGACAAGGAAATAGTATGGGTGATGCGAATCACTGTTTTGGTGTTTGGAGCATCAGCAACAGCAATGGCACTGCTAGCTAAGTCAGTATATGGACTCTGGTACCTCAGTTCTGATCTCGTTTACATCATCATCTTCCCCCAACTGTTATGTGTCTTATTTATTAAAGGAACCAACACCTATGGGGCGATTACAGGATATTTGTTTGGCCTCTTTCTCAGAATAACAGGAGGAGAACCCTACCTTTACCTTCAGCCCTTGATCGTCTATCCTGGTTGTTATATCGATGAAAATGGTATCTATGTCCAGCGATTCCCATTTAAAACACTCGCCATGCTTACTTCTTTCCTCACTAACATTGCTGTCTCATACCTAGCAAAGTACTTATTCGAAAGTGGTACTTTGCCACCAAAATTAGACTTCCTTGATGCTGTTGTTGCAAAGTACAGTAAGGAACACATGGACAAAACGACTCTTGTAAAAAATGACAATATTATGTTAAATGAACTTGCACCCGTGAATCCTCGTCACAGTCTAACTCTGGACTCAACTTTCACAAATAAAGATGCTTTCAGTGATATAGATTCAAGCCCAGAGGTACCCAATGCTAAAGATAACTAAAATGAAATCTTGCTTTCACATGAAAAGCAATGAAGCAGGGTAGCCCCATCACGAACAGTAATAGAGGAAAGAGTTTTTCTGTGATATGTTTTATTGGCCCTAGACCTGAAGAAGGGTACTTTGTGCCTAAAAGCTTATCCAGCATTTCTTCCAACTATACAGTTGATCAAATAAAAGATATCACCAAAAAACCTTTGCCTTTTGCACATTTCCTGGACCATCATGACTACAACAATGTTCCAGCTCTGCTGCAAAAATGGTAACAAGCATCTTGGCAGAAGAAAAATAGGACTGGGAAATACAATTCCATTGCACAATTCTTTAAGTCACTTCTAGGACTTCGAGTACCCTGTGAAATAAATTGTTTCGTGCCACCATCTGACCTGTTGGATTTAGTTATACAAAGTTTAACAAAGGATAAATTCCACCCCCTGCCATTCAAGCAGAACTATGTACAATCGAATGTAATAAATATATCAAATGCAAAATATAAGTAACATGAACCTGTGGTAATTATTTAGTTGAGCCAGTATATAAAGATACTCAAAATTGTATACAGTCATTTAAGAGATTAGACTATGGTGACTGAAATACAAAAGAGTCAACATTTTATATGGCACAAACTGATATATTGTCACTACTGTACACGATTATTACTAAGGCTGTAAATAGACCTTACATTTGTCCCAGGAGAAAGCCTTTTGTCTCTCAGCCCTACAGTTACAAGACCACTGTCTCACTTCAAGTCGCACCAAAGTATACAGAATAAACTGTGCTACTGCTTTTTCCTGGGACGTCATGGTGTGCATCTGTAAAGTTATAGAGGGTCATTCCCTAACAGCCTGGCCAGGCTGTGTGCTCTTTCCAATCATCTACTAGCAGAGGAGCAGCAATGCAACTTGGAAGGGTTATGTGTGGTAAGGACCTTGTCACAGTAGCAAATCATCGGAATATTGAAATGTATTAAGGTTAGTACATGTTAAGGTGGTGCCATATGTTCACTTGCAACAATTGCAAATCATTACAATGTAGTGACCTACTAAATTTAGTATGTTAAGAGATAATCTTCACCTGAAGGGGAACAACTTTGCAATGCTGCAAGTACCTTTAACACTTGCTAAACTGCTTGAATGTGTGTTCGCTTGTATTTCAGCTATACTTAGTGGATGCATCTACATGTGCATCGTTACTGCACGGTAACTTGGGTTACTTCACAGTACCCAAAAGTCACTGCGCAGTATAGATGCACATCTACACATGTGCATCCATACTGCACAGTAACTGTGGTGACTTACACCACTTACTGAACAGTAAGGTGCATGTAGACACTTTACTGTGCAGTAAAACTGTATGTATGTGGCAACTTAGGAGTAATTTTACTCCCTTTACTTGGGAGTAACTTTGCTCCCAAGTTGGAGCACACACAGTGTAACTGCACTGTAATGTTTACATGTGTAGATGACAGTCTAACAACCACTTACTGCGCAATAAGTTATTGCACTGTAAATGCATATGCAGATGCATCCAGTAAGTGTTAAGTGTTAGAACAGTACCCTTTATGACTGTGCTGCTCCTGGTTTAATCTGCGTCAAAATCCAGGGCAATCAAGCCCATCTCAAATGCAATATCTATTTACAGCCAAAATGCCTAGTTGCTTGATCAAAGAAATATTTCTTGTTTTACTAATAATTAATTTTAACTATATATACCAGGTATTTTATTATTTGTAATAAAAACAAAGTGTGTAATTAGTAAAACCTTTCTTATGGGAGTTTTAAACTTATAATACTTAGAGAAGGATATAAAATGTATCACTATTTTAAAGTGTTATTTAGGGTGAAATTACACATTACACTCAGATTTCATACTAAATCCATTGAATGTTAAGCAGTGTTAAAGTTAGAACATGCTGTGAATAGTCACACATTAAGGATTAATATTGCATTTTGCCCACACAGCTCTGACTTGCTGCTAGAGGGTTGGCAAGCAGGGGCATGGCTAGGATCCAGGACCTGGGAATTATCCCTGTCCTAGAAGGAAGGAGTGATGCATCCTGGGATGCATGAGGACAACAAATTGTTTGTTTTATCTCCGTAGAGCAGACTGAAGTTACCCTAATACAACCTAGGGAGCACATCCCAGAGTAAACCTTGTCTGAAGTAGCATAACTTTAAAATGCTCCAAGAGACTTAGCACAAGCCAATGAGCTTTAACTTGAGACACTTGCATTTTAAGTATCCACAGTATGGTCTAAATGTAACATGTAACTTCACCCTTACATTATGCAAGACAAACTTAAGCAACATATATTACTAGAGTTGCCCTTTCTTCCTATCTGAGTGACTGTCACCAATGGAGGATAAAACCCTTGTTTAAAAAATTAATTTTAAAGCAATATTTTGAGTTGAAAACTAAGCTTTGGAGGAAGCAATAGATATTTATGCTTTGTTGAACTAAATGCAGCTCTTTTGTTATGAGAAATGTAGCAGTTTTTGGCTTACTGTCAAACTCATTGTTCAGCACAAGCAAACCAATAATAGGAAAATATAGTAGTTCAGCATGCATTGGGAGCAATCGGTATCAGAGCTGATAAGAACATACAGCACATCCAGACAAGTGTGCTTGTGCATTTCCCTGGGGAAAATAGCAGCACATAGTTGTCCATGCAGTGGACAACTTTGTCACATGGCAAGTTGCCCCTGGTGGGGTAGGGGAGGCTGGGGCCAGTACCTGGGCTGGCCCCAGCAGCCTTACCTGGGATCCTGAGGGCCTCACAGGGCTCCACCAGAGGCAACCAGGCATGCAGAGTCTGGCTGGCAGCTGGAGCATGGCTCAAGCCAGACAGGCTCCTGTTTCAGGTGGCCCATGGTGCCACTATGTGCACTACCCTGCTTTTTTCTGCCAGTTTTTTTTTTACCCTGGGGTCTCCCAGTGTCAAAAAAATCTGCTGTGCTGCAAATTAGTAGCATGGTGAATGCCTGCACATGTGTCATGTGCAGTTTGCGGTGCCGCAGACAGGTCTGCAACGCTACAAACTGCATGTGCCCACTTGTCTGGACATGTCATTTCATGTGGACATAAGGACTTTTCATGTGGAAAATTTGACTTTTCATCAGAAATTTTTGGGCACAAAATGAAAACTTTTAACATGTGGGTTTGAGGATTTACCATGAAAAATGTAAATTTTCTATAGAAAGTAAGATTTGTGAGATGAAAGCGGGGGGGGGGGTTAACCAGTGGTGTATGGAAAGCTGACAGCTGGAAATCTCCATTAGTTGAAAACCGAGTTTTCCACTGAACCCAGTCTTCATGGAAGTGTTCAGCAGCTGCAAGCATTTGTTTTCAAAGCTGACATCAGTTTGTAGGAGAGCTAAAAGGAAAGACCAATTCAGACCCTTAAAAAACACACAGCTTTTATAACAGTCCTCCTTGAAGAGGGCTGCTACTGGGCAGTCCCAGTGCCTCCATGAAATAATAGGGTTGGTTAGCAAGTTAGGGAGCACCACCCATAGAATTATAGCACTAGAAAGAAGCAGGTCTCTTCCTTCTTAGCCCCTGGCATTGTAAACTAAGAACAAAGTAAGTTGCTTTGTTTGGCCAAATCATAGATGTGTGTGCCTGTGTGTGTGTATGTGTCCTGAATGATATCTGCCCTTCACGGGGGGGGGGGGGTCTAATGCCTACAGTCTTGTACAACAAAGAGTTACACTTCAATAGTCTGTTTAATGTTGATATATGACAAAACCTGTAAAGTTGAAACTGACATCTTCTTGTATTTTAGTCACCAGTGATAAGTTCTTATCAACATCCATGAAACTATGAATTATAACAGAGAACAGAAAATGTAAGAATAATTTTTGCTGCTAAAGGAAGAAGCCATTGACTTTTGTATTCCACATCAGCATAACTTTCTTAAGGTTGATCCATCTGTGTTTCTTTGCTCATTTTGTGGAGTTCTAATTACATGTGCATGTATGCTGTATACTGTTGTGTTTTCCAACTGTTCAGTTTCAGAAATAACACTGCATCTCAGGTCTGAATATGCACCAACAACTGTATTTAAAAAAAAAACCTGCTCCAGTGAGTATGGATCATAAGTAGGCTGTGCTTTGAGAACACACAACACCCAACTAATGGAAAAAAGACAAGTTTTCAATGGGTGGGTTAACAAATGGATGGGAAATTCCATTCATAGGAGGGTCTAAAACCTGCTTTATATACAGTGGCAATCTCTATCAGAGCATACAAAAGAGAAAAGAAGAGTGACTGTGGAGAGTAGGGGAAGGAAGGGATAAAGAAGTTTCTGGGGTTTGGCCAGAGGATTTACATGCATTCAGATCCAGTGGTTAGAAGATCCATACAGAGTGAAACAAAGCATGACTCTATTGTCATTCATAAATTAGTCTTCAGGCTGAGTATGAGGACTCCACCCTGCAACCATTTGCAGATTACCCTTATGAATACTTTTATTTGGGGCTTTGTATATGGATAGTCATAATTTCACAGTAAGAACTAAATTCTAACATGTTCTTTGGGTTTGAACAGCATGCATACAGCAAAACTACTGCAGATATGCTATACACAAGGGCATACTTCAGTGAAAGTATCAGTAGAGCTGTGATGAGGATGAATATTTTCAGTTTCATAGGAGATTTTGAAATGCAGCTTTATTCTGAATTAGAACAACTGCCCTCCTCTCCACCCTGCCCCCCCTCCAATTCTCTGCCAAAGGAAGTTCTGGAGGGGATATCTTTTTTAATAAAATTACTTTTTTATATATAAAATCATCTCATTTAGATATTTTTTCAATTATATTGGAACATATGCTTGGAATAAAAAATTCAAAACTGAAAGTTATTCCAAAGCAAAAAAATTAAATATTTTGTCCCCCAAATGTTAAAATGAACTGCTTCAATATTGCCAGACTTTTTTGCTTTTATGTTGTTTCCCGCCTAAACAATTTTTTGGCAAAATCAATGCGATTTTTCAAAACATTTCAATTTAGATGGAATTGCATCCTCTGATTGAAAATAGTTATGTCTGTTTTGTCTGACCATATCTACTTAGGAAAACTTGCTATTTTTTGCTTTCTA